ACCCCCAGTGACTCGAGGGGGAGGAGGTATAATTTAATTAACTGAGCAAAGCCATTCATTTCCTTATTGAGGCTTTTGACGAATTTCTCTTCTTTGTGTAGGGCTTCCTTCTCAGCTTCATGTCCTCGTTAAGGAGTTGTTATCGGGGAATGACCCTGAGAAGATCATCATCAGCGTAGAAGTCCGCTCTTATTTCTCCTCCCTGACTGCTATAATTGGCAAACTCCTCCACGACGGACTTTCTCTTCGCCAATTTAAGCCCTACCTCGATTCCAAGATAAATTTGATTAGGGACATAGGATGTCCGGATCTGGCGACGGCTATGGTTGATGACCTTGATCGCTTAGAGCGTGAGCTTCAGATGTTTCATGAGCTCCGGGATACAGGTGCCTCTTCATTCGTTGCTGCCGAGTTGGATGCTCGCTTACAGACATGGCGCAGTACTCGGATGGTTGCCGAGCTCGAGATTCAGGTGCAGCGGGGCCGCATAGATCGAGTTGAGGCTGATCTTGCCACTAGATCATCTTCCCTTGAGGAGCTTGATTCTCAGATAGATCAGCTCCGACGAGAACTCCGTGAGAAGGAAGACACAAAGATGCAGAATCAGCAAGCAAATGCTGCTTTATCTGATGAGCTGAAGTCCTTGAAGCAGACACTGGCTGAGACAGAGGAGGTTGCTGTGAGGACTTTAGCCGCGAACGAAGAGTCTGTCAGAGCTGAGTTGCAGGAGGAGCTTAGACGCTCTTATGATGAGAAGCTGTCTGAATTCAGTCAGCAGGTTCTTAGCCATGGGCTTGATGTATGATTTTATTTGCTGAAAACCTTGACATTTGATTCTCTTTAGTGGACCTGATTTTTGTCTTTATCTTTATTATGATTCCTCATTCCGTTTGAAATGATTGACCATAATACTCATAGGATTTTTGGCAAACCCCCAGCCTTCAACGGGTTTGATTAGCCTTTACCGACTACCGTTTGAGTCGGGCTAGCATGCGGATTGTCGGAATCCGTTCCGCATGTAACGTTGTGCTAAGGGAATGAACTCCCTTAGACTTCGTGCTATGATGTCGAATACATAGACTTCGCCATTGTTACGGGAATAGGCTACCCGGCGACACGTGTTAGGTGTTGACTTTAGGATTTTTGGCTAACCCCCAGCCTTCAACGGGTTTGATTAGCCTTTACCGACTACCGTTTGAGTCGGGCTAGCATGCGGATTGTCGGAATCCGTTCCGCATGTAACGTTGTGCTAAGGGAATGAACTCCCTTAGACTTCGTGCTATGATGTCGAATACATAGACTTCGCCATTGTTACGGGAATAGGCTACCCGGCGACACGTGTTAGGTGTTGACTTTAGGATTTTTGGCTAACCCCCAGCCTTCAACGGGTTTGATTAGCCTTTACCGACTACCGTTTGAGTCGGGCTAGCATGCGGATTGTCTAAATCCGTTCGCATGTAACGTTGCGCTAAAGGAATGAACTCCCTTAGACTTTGTGCTATGATGTCGAATACATAGACTTCGCCATTGTTACGGGAATAGGCTACCCGGCAACACGTGTTAGGTGTTGACTTTATCCCTACTTAGGTTTCGGGATAAAATACCCCAGACTGGTATTCTGGTGTCTTTTTCTACGGCGAGAGACTAAACCGGCGACGCGTGTTAGGCGTCGGCATATCCTTTCTTAGGATTCAGGATGACATTCCCCATGCGTGTAAGGCATGGATTTTGGTGTTATTAATAACAACCTGCCGCAATGTTGAATATGCGGACGAGTGTTCTTTTTAACGGTTAGGAACTAACCGGCAGCGCGGGTTAAGCGCAGACTTATCCTTGCTTAGGTTTCAGGATAAAATACCCCAGAATCAGACTCTGGTGTCTTTTTGTGCGGAAAAAGACTAAACCGGCAGCGCGTGTTAGGCGCAGACTTATCCCTGCTTAGGATTCGGGATAAACTTCCTAGGATGAATCCTAGATTGATAGATTCTTAGAAAAGGTTGGTGCGGGAAAGGAAGAATTTTATATTCTATTTCCCGGTCTTCTTTTAGGGTGAAGGCGAACCCAACAGACAAGGAAGGAAGAATTTTATATTCTATTCCCTGATTCTGGAAAGGAAGAATTTTATATTCTATTTCTAGCGAAGAAGAAACTAGAAGTGGGGTGTCCACTCCGAGAGTCTGGAAAATTTAGATAAACTTGCCTTTTATAGGATGGGTTATCTAAACTGAAAATGGGTTCTTCGTTTATCGAAGTGGAATTTCAACTTTGGCTATAACCATGGGAAGGCTTGACCAAAGAGAAAGAGAAGGGAGTTCTTTCGTTTATCGAAAGGGGACTCCGAAATGAAAGGGGACTTCTTGTCTATGGAAAGAGTCAAGAGGGCCAGATGGACACTTTTGGTGGACTCACTGTCAATTGAAACTGATCAGTGAGGGATTTTGGTGGTAAACAATGATTTTGGGTTATCCTTTAGAATATTAAGTGTAATATTCTTCGAGGAACTTCTCGGTAAATGAGTTATCCTGAATGTACTAGGGATAGTACTTTTTCAGGAACTTCCCATTTATTGGCATTAATTGCCTGGCGCCCTCTTGAGTAATCAGGCGATATGCGCCGTTTGAATAGACTGTGTCTATTACAAACGGTCCTTCCCACTTGGGTTCGAATTTACCTTTCTTCTTGGAGGTGAGGATTATCGGTCGGCGAGCAGCGAGGACCAGATCTCCTTCCTTGAAGCTTCTCTGTCGGACTCTTTTGTTAAAAGCCCTAGACATCCTGGGCTGATAGAACTCAATTTGTTGTTGAGCTTCCAAGCGCTTTTCATCCTGTCTCTCAAGCTCTTCGAGACGCTTCTGATGTTGTTCCTCCGTTGTCATCTCCGTTGCGAGGGCAATCCGAAGGGATGGAATCTGAATTTCCAGCGGTAGCACGGCTTCACATCCGTACACCAGCGAATACGGGGTAGCTCCCATAGGCGTGCGTATGGTGATGCGATAAGCCCAGAGTGCTTCACCGAGTTTATCGTCCCAGTCTCGTTTATTGGTCTTCACGAGCTTGGACAGGATCTTAATGATCGTCTTGTTAAACGCTTCAGCTAATCCGTTCGCAGCGGGGTAGTAAGCTGTCGACGAAACATCTTCGATTTTGAACTTGTCGCAGAATCTGACGAAGGCATTGCTTATGAACTGTGGACCGTTGTCATGAATGATCCGTCTTGGCACGCCGTGTCGATAAATGACATGATGCTTGATGAAATTGATGACGTTATTCGTCTTTACTTCTTTAAGCGGAATTGCTTCAGCC